AGGGAGAGGACTAAAATAAATCATTACAAAACCCAGCTTATCCAAAGAGAAGTTAAGATTTCAGAGACTACACTGGCAACATGAACATGCAATATTTATTTTGCAAAGTGCTTTTATAGGAAAGTTTTAAATTTGCCTGCCCATGGAATGTTTGAGAGTAGAATGTCAGCTTTCTAGCCACAAGGATAAAAACCAAAAGAACAGTAAATAAAGTCTACAAATGGCAATTGTCAGGATTCCTCAGAGAAATTTACCTTCATTGGTATGACTCTGGATTAATTGAAATGAAACAGAAAGAACCATTTCTATTCCCAAGAGATTTCTTAATTGAGCCTAAGAATCATTGTGTCTGGTCCAGACGTGAGACCACATGAGTCATATGACTTCAGCAGAAAAAAAAACGTCAGTTGTATGTGCTTTCACTATTCTCATGGCTACTAGAACAAAATGAGTGATCGAGAGTCCTGGTTTCTCATGTTTCTGTGTAAATTTGTTATGTAACCTGGAACGAGACACTTCACTACTCTAGGCCTTGATTTTCCCACTTATGCAGTTGGTGAGACTGGTCCTCAATATTCCTTCTAGGTCTGAAATTCTGGTGATTCTGATGACATGGCTCTAAATTTTGATTACTCATCCCAGAGGTAGATGCCGAAAGCACAAACAGAAAGGCATGCTTTGTGCCCTAGGCATGCTTATGTCTAATTCCAGCAAGACTGAAGTTTGACAGAAATTAAAGAAAGTAAAACAAAAACAAATTGGGCAGTAATGCCGGTAATTAGATTAATCAGATTAGAAGGTTGGGTGAACACTCCTTGTAAATATTCTTAGAAACATCGTGGTTTATGAGCCAGGCTTTTCTCTCTGAGAATCCCTAATTGGTATTTCACCAACTCCTGTGAAAAGAACGCTCTCTGTGGGTAGATACTAGCTTTAGGCCCTATAAGAAAGCACATAGATACCTCTCTGTGAACAGCTACCAAATGGAAAGTAGTGTAAAGTGCATCAATGAAGAAGTGTTATAGTATGTTTTGTCTACTTTCAGCTTCTTATTCCATAAATCTTACTGTGACTGTTCTTAAAGACTGTCTTTGGGCTGGGCGCGGTGGCTCACACCTGTAATCCCAACACTTTGGGAGGCCAAGGTGAGTGGTCACCTGGGGTCAGGACTTCAAGATCAGCCTAGCCAACATGGTGAAATCCCATCTCTACTAAAAATACCAAAAGTTAGCTGGGTGTGATGGCGGGTACCTGTAATCCCAACTACTCAGGAGGCTGAGGCAGGAGAATAGCTTGAACCCAGGTGCTGGAGGTTGCAGTGAGCTGAAATCACGCCATTACACTCCAGTCTGGGCGACAAGAGCAAGACTATGTCTCAGAAAAAAGCAAAACAAAACAAAAAATAACAACAACAACAACAACAAAAAAAAACAGACTGTCTATGCATCTAATACCAATGCGGAATAATGTGTCAAATTATTTCACCTAATAAACCAGCACAGCTTCCTGAATGAGGCAGGAGATGGAGAGGAGCAAGCATGCCAGAATTAGCAAGTCCCCAGGGTGATTTTAAAACACATGGTTTATTTCAGCCAGTTTCTCAGATTTACTGGTTCTAGAACTACAGAGATTCTGTGTCACATATTTTGTGGAATTAATATATTACCTTTTAAAAATTTATGCTTAGTTTTAGAATGTGCATGCATTTCTGTTGTTGGTCTTTGGAAACAGTCATATTTCTTGTTATGTTTAGAATACTTTTAATTTTATTCATTTTAAATGATACATTTTATTTAATCATTTAGTGAGATCATTGATTTGGTGTTCATGGTACTTTAAAATTCCTAAGGAAGTTCACAGTTTTTAACTGAATTGTCAGTGGTAGTGACATGCTAGCAGCTCAAGCATATTGATTCATCATTGAGTCAGTTTGGATTCTAGAGTCATACATGTTATAAGTACATGGGGATAGAAAGCACATGTTTTTAGTAGTCCTAGCTAGAGCTGCTATATTAAACCAAGAAAACATAAGACAGAAGCTATCAAGAAAGGAGGTAAGAAATTGAGAGCATGGAGTCAAGAAAAAAGTTTTTACACTCAAAGCAGAATCTATATATTTCTTCATTTGGAAACTACACATACAGATGAATAAAGCATCAAATTACTGTACATGCACTTCAAGAATTTAAAAACTATTATTTGTGTCACCTTTGACATCCTGTATGACCGCCAATTTTCTTAATCCTTTATATTTTCCAGTGAAAGAGAGAACATTATATCCTACTTTCTTCTAATGAATATCATTGAGTAAATATTTATATAAAAATATTTAAGTTTAAAATGTCTCTGAAAAATAAGAAACAGTGATAATGTTGTTTATTAAGGCAAAGGAAAAAGTACATTTGTAAATTTGACAACCTTTAATCATTTCTTTCATAATCATAATCTTGGAGGAATTGAAAAACAGAAAGACCTGCTATCACCTCACAAATGAAATACTTAGTTCAGTGTGTTTTATTCTCCTTGCAAATCATTGATGATATTTAATTAAAAATTACAAAACTGCTAGACATTCCAGTCAAAACTAGTTCCCTTTCTTACAAGCAGGCAGATTAAAACTGACATTTAATATTATTTGTTTACCTTCATTTTATCTTTGATAAACTCAAGAATCTTAAAAAGCCAATATATACCTGGTTAAACAAATAACTGAAAAATAGAACTTTGAATTTATGATTCAGCCTTTTCCAAAGAAATAATAGCACAAGCAAAAATTAAAAAATGAATGAAATGTTATTGCCAGGGTTTTAGAAATACACGATTTTTCAACTGCGTAGGCACGTAGTTTTTATCAACTATCAACAAATTGTTCATGACTTTAGACGGGCAAACATTAGAGTAGGATTAGATTGTGGAATTTCCATGGTTTAACTCTAAGAAAGCCCAGGATTGGGGTTGGAAATTTTACTGGAAAGAGTTGATTGTTTACACTGTTGATTTAGGTATGTGAAAATGGGAGGAGGTAGGGTAATAGCTAAATAGGAACTTAGAATATAAAATGTAAACATAGAGTTCAGTTGAAAATAGTGATCAACAGAAGTGGCAGTAAGTACCCCAGAATTCCCCAGCTTAAAAATAAGAAACAAATCAACAAAATCTTCTCTACTTTAACCACACACACAAAAAAAAGGCAAAATGAACAAAGTACCCATTCATATAAGACAACTACCACAGAAACTAAAGGAATGTCTTAATTCAAAACAAGGGAATTTCATTTTGGTTCTTACTTGCCAGAGATCCTAGGCAAGCATATTCATAAAGTGAGGAAATAGAGTCCTAAGAGATTAATACCTGGAATTTCATTGTTAGAAAAATTTGCACAATTTCAGCAGAATGAATTGGTGAAAGCGACTCTATCACATAAATACTATTCAAATAGCATTTATACTGTATGCTGTGCTCCGTATCCTAGGAAATCTGTTCATTGTTGATAGGGCTGACTGTCTATAAGGAATTATCACTCTCTAAAAGGAGAGAAACTTGCAGAGCAATTCAGCATCCAAGGAAAGACTGACAGCTTTGAAAGAGACCTGATAATGATGCAAGTAGGAACTTGCATGTGCTTGAAATAAGCATTGATTTAACAAAACAAAGACTCTATTCTACATATACTTTGGAAACACATATTCTTTGAGAACTTGGTTTTGACGAGTTGAAATGGCCACTCGAACTAAATTCCCATGTTGAGCTTTGTTTACCCTTCTTATCTGAAGCCAGAGCCAACAATCCTAAAAGTTTTGAATGACATTTAATGGTTCCAGGAATTGGGGCTTACCTATCTGCAGATAAACCTGTTTCCTTTTTGGCTGTATTATATTAAGTAAAACTGTTCTGTTAAATGAATATGAAGTGGTCCCTTCTATACTTTAGAATAAATAAATGACTTGAGCCAGCTGCAGTGACTCACGCCTATAATCCCAGCACTTTGGAATGCTGAAGAGGGAGGATTGCTTGAGGCCAAGAGTTCAAGAGCAGCCTGGGCGACAAAGCAAGACCCCCATTTATATAGAAAAATTTAAAAATTAGCAGATTTGGTAGCATGCATCTTGTAGTGCCAGCTACTTGGGAGGCTGAAGTGGGAAGATCACTTGGGCCCAGGAATTCAACGTTGCAGTGAAACATGAACCATGATTGCACCCCCACACTACAGCCCAGGACTCAGAGAGAGAGCCTGTCTCTGTAAAAAATTAAAGTATAAATAAATAAATGAAAGACTTGACTTTTCCCACAGAGATATTCTACTAGTAAATAGAGAAATAAAGCTTAGTAGTGTGATTTATTTTGCATGACATCAATTACTCTGAGTACAATATTTTTGTTACAAGTTCTATTAAATTATTTATGCTTTTAATGAGCCAATTCAATGTTAGCTATTCCTAATAATAATCTTATTTTTGTCACTGCAGCATTTCAGCAGAGTTCAAAATACATCAGAGTTTCCACTTAAAAGATATTTATAAAAGAAAAGATAACACGTTAAAATCATATAAAGTATGCAATTTACAACCTCCTCCTCCTGTTACAAGAGTCCCTCCTCCTATTACAATAGTCCCTCCTCCTCCTGTCACACTAGTCCCTTCTCTTCCTGTTACAATAGCCTCTCTCCTCCTTTTACAACATTTTAAGTAATGTATATTAATTTTAAAAATCTGGCCAGGCACAGTGGTTCATGCCTGTAATCCCAGCACGTTGGGAGCCTGAGACGGGCGGATCATTTGAGGGCAGGAGTTTGAGACAGCCTGGCCAACATGTTGAAAGCTCGTCTCTACTAAAAATAAAAAAGTAGCCAGGCATGGTGGCGGGCACCTGTCATCCGAGCTACTCGAGAGGCTGAGGAAGGAGAATCACTTGCGTGACTAAAATGATAGCTTTGAAGAGTACTCCGAGTTTTATGGCACTTATTAAAATAGCTGCTTTGTCTCCTTTTTCATATCCTGCAGCCAAGTCATTGTTGGATAAGCGAGATGGTAGTACAATTGTCAGACAGCTTGACTGATCTTCTGGACAAGTTTTCAAATATTTCTGAAGGCTTGAGTAATTATTCCATCATAGACAAACTTGTCAATATAGTGGATGACCTTGTGGAGTGCGTGAAAGAAAACTCATCTAAGGTAACTTTGTGTTCATTGGGATTATTTTTCATTACTCTTCTTTAAAAACCCATGCTTCTTGGTGCTGTTGGGGAGAATGAGGCACCTTTATGATATTTTGATTGTAGAAACTTCAAATTTAAAAATCTTGTTCAGATGAGCAAAGAAAACAAGTATTTGCAGTTACAGTGCAATACTGAAGTGTGCATTCAGACTTAAATATTGTCATCTAATATAAAAATAAAACTTATTTACATTACAATGCAAAATCAGTCCTGCCTTTATCTTCATTTTTCATAAGTGAAGTCCTCAAAATCTTCCTGTTAAGTTACAAGTGTTCATTTAAATAGAAAATTGTCTGTAATAGACACATATCCCTGTCCTTTTATCCATAATGTAATCACCCCATAGGTCACAACAAAGAAATACATTTTGGCTCCCCAGAGTCACTGGATAACTGATCATCTCCAACTTCAGGATATGGGCACGACACATGGAATAGGCAGTGTACTCCAGAAAATGAGAGTGGGATATTGGAGTTTAAATTCTGACTCTGTCACTAATGAGTTCTGTGAGCATAACTTCTTTGTACCTCACTTTCTTTATATTTAAAGTGGGGACAATGCCAGAATTCATCTAACAGGGTTGACATTAGGTGATTTGTCATGAGTACTTTAACACCATACCCAGCAAAATAAATATTAATAAAATTTTACATTTTTTCATCACACTGTGTCTATAGCAGAATCATGCTTAGCAGACCTGATTTGGTATACAGTTCAAATGGCCAAAGATTAGCTTAGGAGACTTCTATAAGTTTAAATTCAAAGTTTTAAACAGGATTCTGTACCTTAATACCTAAATTCTTTTTCCTGTGTCCCATCTAAATTCCAGCTACTCTGTAAGACCCAATTTCAATCCTATTTGTGCTCTCCAATCTTATAATTCTTACCATACTAATAATCCAATCACTACCTTTAATCTTTCTATTGTTTTGTTTTCTAATTTCCAAAGTCAGAATGTAGTGTTAACCACTCTTTCATATTACTACTGCATATAGTGTGCTGACAGCATTCAAAAGAAGTTGAGGTCACAAAAAGAATATATCACACAAGGTGTCACAAAGGAAATAACATATGCATTAGAGCCTTAAAGATAAGTTAGGTAAATGAGTTAAGTCAATGGTGATGTTGGGAGGAACACTGCAAACAACAAAGAATGTGCATTTACTAATCATGACACTTTGGTGGGAACCCAGGAGATTACCGATGATATTTCCGCAGTTGTTTTGGAGATTGAGTTAATCTATATAACGCACTTAGAATAGTCCATAGTAAGTGACAGATAGTTGTTTATTTTGGTTACCTACTTTTCTTTATAATCCATTATGTATCCCTACAATATAGCTTTGATTTGCTTTGGGGAATTTTATATTAATTTTATATCAATTAATCATACTATTTTTATTATTTTGGGACTTGCTTCTTTTACTCAGCTTTAGGTTTAGAAGATGTATCCACTCTAAAGCATATAGCTGTAGTTAACCTTCTCCTGAATTGAACTCCACTAATTCAATGTATCACTAGGTATTAAGCCACTCTCTTTTGATTGACATAGTGATACAGATATTGCTGCAAAAAACCTTTTTTTTTTTTTTTTTGAGACGGAGGCAAAAAACCTTTTTATATGTCTGATGGTATGTATGTGCAATAGTTTCACTAGGGTATTTACCTGAGAATGGAATTTCTGAGTCACAGGAGGGGCACATGTCTAACTTTACTGGATAATATCAAATGTACCAATTTACATTATCTCAGCAGTACATAATAGTTCCCTTGCCAATATTTAGTATCATCTGACTTTCTAATTTTTGGATATTAGAGCATGCATTTTGGAGAGGTCTTTTTTTTTCTAAAGACTAGAATTTCTTGTAATGGAGAGGTCTTTTAAAAATAAACCCTGATGTTTTTAATAAGCATCTCTAAAGAAAAATATCCCCAGTTTGTTTTCAAGGTTATTATTATTATTATTATTTGCCATGACATTGTGTTCACTGCTCCAGATTCAACTTGTGAGCCCACTGGGATCACTACCCCACATTACCAATTTGAATTACATACATTGAAACAGCCATCTAAAAGTGCTAGTTGTAAGAGTCCAAATACTTTAATCTTTGAGGGACATATTTATAGTCCATTATCTTGACCTCAGTTAAGTCTAAAGACTATTTGAAAAATGTAATCCTATTTTTTTTTGTTCTAGGATCTAAAAAAATCATTCAAGAGCCCAGAACCCAGGCTCTTTACTCCTGAAGAATTCTTTAGAATTTTTAATAGATCCATTGATGCCTTCAAGGACTTTGCGGTGGCATCTGAAACTAGTGATTGTGTGGTTTCTTCGACATTAAGTCCTGAGAAAGGTAAGACATGTAAGCATTTCCAGTTCAAATGTAAACAACAAACTTAAATCTTCCCTATAGAGTAAGAATCTACCTCTGTGTTTAGCTGTAGCAAGACAATGTGCATGTATGTCCAATAAAAAAGCAAGTATCAATAGCACAGAAGAAACTAATGATTGTAGATTTCTTGGTTTCCAAGCCAAAGCAGTATTCATCAATTTCAAATCAGTGAGCTGTTTGTGAGTAAACAGTATATGAGATGGCCACTCATACCTTTTCTCATCTAATATTTGCCAGTAGTTACAATTATATTATTCTGTACCTGCAGTCAACTTAATGTTCCTTCTCAAATTTTTTTCTTAAGGATCTAATTCTGAAGTCACAAATTCTGATCCTCCCCAGTTACTCTGTATTGAGACTCTCTTTTCCCTTCACTGGGTCTCTGTAATACAAACCTGGATTCATGGCTTTCTTTTTTAATAAGAAATTACCATCAATGTGTCATTATTTGTATTTATTAACATATTTATTCAATAAGTATTTGTTCTACAAGGTGACAATGGTGAATTTCTTAGTAAAATAGAATAGCAGGACCCAGTATGAAATAAATAAGAGCTGAATACTCTAGATTTGGGAAGCAGACCTGGCAAGTAATCTGGTATTACACTTCACCTTTCAGGGACTCTATAAGTCATACAAATCACCATATAACACTGACACATTATTGCTTTCTATTTAGATTCCAGAGTCAGTGTCACAAAACCATTTATGTTACCCCCTGTTGCAGCCAGCTCCCTTAGGAATGACAGCAGTAGCAGTAATAGTAAGTACATATATCTGATTTAATGCATGCATGGCTCCAATTAGCACCTATAGGAGTATTGCATGGGCTTTCAAGGAAACTTCTACACTTATTACTATTGATACTGTTCTGTTACTGTTATTCCTTTTATGGTCTTCCTGAGACTTAAGTTTGTAGAATTAAATTTCCCTAGAGCTGGAGATAATGTTTAGAGAATTCGGCCAATAAATTTTCTGCTAAGGTTATTTTAAATAAGACATAAAATTAATTCTAGAAATATGATTTATGCTTTTTGTTGAATCATTAAAATATATTCTGTGTGGAATGTGCCTGACAAAACCAGAAGTTTAAAATTGAGCGTATAAATGCTGGTTGTATAGAATTCCAAAGATATTTTCAGTTTTGTGTATATCAGTATTTACTATTGTGCATTTTGAAATTTGATGATCCTGTTATTTTACTACAGAATTATATGTTTGACGAGAATAGACTTATTCTTCTGAAATGTCTGTCCTCTTTGGCCAAGAACCCAGTTTTCTTTTAAAATCCAGGCAAAGGTCATTATAAAGGTTATTGTATTTACTAAATACTCTCTGGCCTCATGGAAAGTGCGGGAAGAAAAAAAATCATCTTGTGATCTAAGCTAAAAAGGTCATCCCTTAAGACTTACAAATGGGGCACTGTCATTTGTTCAGGGACTTAGAAGACCTGTCTATGAAACTAAGTAGCAATTTATTACTAATTCGTAATAGCTTGTTACAATGCAAAATTAAAAAAAAAAAAAAACCTGTAAATTGCAATTTACTTATTTTGGAATTCGTTGCCACCAAAACCTGACCTGAAGTGATTTTTGGCTATTTATAGTATTTATTTATCTTTCCAAAAGTGAATATATATTTTACTAATGAAATATTAATGTATTTGATTACAGGATGCTACCCAGGATTCACTGGGGACAGTATATGTTATACATTATTTGCAGGACAGAATCTTCTAAAACCTAAAATTCTAAATTACGTATCAGTTCTGAAAGTGTCAAAAAGGGACTACGGCCCTCTTTGTGTGTTAGTCAATTAAGGGCTTTCTTACTAACTATGGATTTTATTAAATTTTCAAAGAAGCAACTCTGTCTTCTTAAATTCTCTGCTTATATTTCATTGATTTCCAATCTTTATTATTTCCTTCCATTTGCTTTGTGTTTCATTTACTCCGCTTTTTCTAGCCTTTCAAAGTAGAAAAATTAGATCATTGATTTTAAACTATTTTTGCTAATTACAAGCACTTAAATGTATAAATTTTCTTATATACACTGCTTTAGCTGCACCTCACACATTTTTATGTTGTGATTTTATTATTTTTCTAAATATTTGTTAATTGTGATTTCTTCTTTGATTCACAGATAATATAAAAGTGAGTTGTTTGATGTCAAAAAGTTTGAGGTTTTCCTATATATCTTCTTGTTACTGGTTTATGAATTTTGTTGTCAGAAAACATACTCTATAATTTTTTTGAAATCTGCTGAAACTATTTTATGTATATTATTTAACTATTGAATGCGCACTCAAATTTGGCCAAAATGGTTGATAGTGTTGTTTATATCTTCTCTTCCTTATTAAACATTGTATCTAATTTTTATTAATTATTGAGAAAAGGGAATTGAAAATGTTTACTTTTGATTACGGATTTGTCTGATTTTCCTTTTGGTTTTGGGTTTTTCGCTCCATATATTTTGAAGCTTTATTATTATGGGCTTATACATTGATTGTTGTTAGATCTTCCCTGTTTAATTGACCTTTTAATCTTACTGAAATATCCCTCTATCTCTGATAGTGCTCTTTGGCTTGAAGTGTGTTTTATCTGATATTAGTAGAGCAAGTCTTATGCTTACTGTTTTCATGGTATATGTTTGATTTTCCTTTATTTTCAGTCTATTGTCTTTATTTTTAAGTACATTTCTGGTAGACAACATACACTTGGGTTTCACTATTTTATTTAGTGTGTCTCTGTTAATTAGAGTGTTTCATCCATTTCTGTGTAATACATCATCGGTATAGTTGGATTTTAATCCACCATTTTCTTATTTGTTTTTTATCTGTCTCATTTGTGTATTGCTCTTCCGTTCCTTATTTCTCACCCTTTTTTGGGCTACTTCATTTTTTTTCTAGTGTTTAATTTTAATTACTGTGGGCTTTTCAACAGTACCCTTTTGCATTATGTTGTGATTATTTGGGGAATTAAAGTATACACTTTAACTTGTAATCTTCTACTTAGAGTTACTGTTGTAGCACTTGAGAAAAAATACAAGAACCTCGAAACAGGATAGTTGTACTTACCCATACCCATCTTTTGTGTCATCACTGACATATAGTAACATATCTACATCAGTTATAAATTTCACAATACAGTCTACAATACACAATGCAGTTCAATTATTGCTTTGAACTGTCATACGTATTTTAAAGTAAGAGAAGAAGAAATATATTGTCTTTTATATTAACCCGCATATTTGTTATTTCCTGTACCCTTCATTCCCTCTTGTCAGTCCAAGTTTCCATTTGGTATTAATTTCCTTCAAGCTGAGAAACATTCTTTGGCGTCTCTTATAATACAGATCCACTGGCAGCAAATTCTTTTTTCTTTTTAATTGGAAAAATATCTTTTTTTGTCTTCCATGTAGCAGGTACTTTTTACTAGATATTGAAGTCTGAGTAAACAGAATTTTTTTTTTTTCTTTTAGTCTTTTAAAAATATCACTCTATTGTGTTCCTGCAGATACTGTTTCTGGAAAAAAAAAAAAAAAAAGTAGCCACCATTTGTCTTATTTTTTTCCCTGCATGTACTAGGTCGTTTCTTCCTCTGCCTTCTTTCAAAGTGTTCTCCTTTTAACAGTTAAACTAGAATATGCCTACGAGTGGTTTTCTTTGTATTTATCTTTCTTGAGATTTGTCAAGCTTTTGGATACATAAATTTGTTTTCCCTGAAATTTGGTGAAAAAATAACCATAATTTTTTCAATTTTTTTTAATCCATTTTATCTCTTCTCTCTTTCTGAGATACTACTTGCATGTATGTTAGCAGTTTGCTAGTGTGTCTTAGGTCACAGAAGTTTTATTCATTTATTTATCCTCTTTTCTCTCTGTTCTTCTGAGTAATTTCTACTTGTCTGCTTTCAAGTTCATTGACCTTTTCTTCTACCATCTCTGATCTGCTGAATTTTTCATCCAGTGAATTATTTTATTTATACATTTATATTTTGTCTTCTAGAATGTCCAGTTAATTTTTTAATGTGTTTTATGTTTGTCTGCTGGAATTTTCCATCTGCATACTCATTATGAAAAAAATTCTTTTTTATCACTTAAGCATAATGATCATAGCTGCTCTAAAGTTCTTGTCTCCAAATTTCAACACACAGGTCATCCCAGAGTTAATGTCTATTGACTTCTTCCTCCTTGATTAGGGGTCACATTTCCTTTTAAATGGTTAGTGATTGTTTAAATGCCGGATATTATGAATTCTATGCTGTTGAATATCTTTCAGTTCTATAGCATTTCTTTAGAGGCTATTGAATTGTGTTTTGGTAAGAGGTTCGAATACTAGCAGATGAGATTTATCTTTTCTCCCAGCCTTGTTTTTAAACATTCTTGGGTACAAACGAAAGTAGCCTTATTCCTAAGGCATGGAATATCTGAGACACCTCTAAAGTACTCAGAAAATCTCTCCAATATTGCTTGTCATAACAACTTTGTCCACCATTGTTCTGTGACTGCTAAGGTCTCTATTAATATTATAGCTTCCCAAAGGTTTGGTTTTTGTTTTCTTTTGTTGTTGTTATTTTATTTTTTAGTCAGGTTTTGTGACTTCTCTACTGGTGCATATAAAGCTTATTATTGGACCAGTAACTTAAGGAGATTCATCTAGAGATTTCTGATGCTCCTTCTTTGCATGGCTCCCTTCTTTGAAATAACCTAGATCTAGAAACCCCAGCCACATCAGCAGCCCTGAATTTCAATCTTTGACTCCCTGCCTTAGTGAGGCCATTGATCCTTGCCTGGACTCTGTCTTCCACACCTCAATCTGAAAGTGCACCCCAGACAGGAGAGCTGAAAGCCGAAAGCCAGGGCAAACATGAGCCTCACTTAGTGTGGATTCCCTGTCTCACGAATTACACATTTGTGCTGCTGTTCCCTAATTTCTGAAAAGAGTTGCCTCATAATTTGTCCAGAATTATAATTACTTAGGTTGGAAAGGCTAGTCTGCTACCAACGTGTTTGGAAACAAAAAGTCTTTCCTACTGATTTTAGAAGACAAATTAAATATAAAATACCTATTTAATCCCATGCCTCTGAATTAGAGATTACTTTTTAAATTGCAAGATGAATGGACAAGCTTCTTTTTTGTTCATTGTTTCCTTTTTCTTTCTTTTTAAAACATTTTGAGTCTTGCATTGTCAGCAACTTTTAGCTAGGTGATGTCATTCATGAATATGCCACTTAGATACCTATGCACAAGACAAGATTTTGTGGTGCTCACATTCTAAGAGAAACAGAAGTAAATACTCATAGTACAGTACATAATATGTATCATAATAGAATTATGCAAATGTTTTTAGTTGTAACACAAAGGGGGTAAGACTTGTTTTTTGGGAGAAGGGTTAGGGAAATTTGAAGAAAGCATGCTAGTTTTCAGGGTTAACTCAAAAGTTGGCCATGTCAGAGGACCAGGGCATATGAAAACTTATTACAGAGTTGTGAGTGTGTAAGGAAAAGTCATGGGATAATGGAATAACATACAAACCTACTAGTTATCCAAAGGAAATTATGTTTATAGCATAACAGTAATATCCTTTAGTAAAGAGAATGTTTAAAAGATGTTTATGTTTGAGATCCTTGCAGACAGTACCTAAATGATAGAGAAAGAAATCCTAACTTTGTCATTACCTTATACATCTTCTAGAAATAGTCTTGACTCAACCTTCCTGGACTCATATACTAGTCAAGTTAAACTCTGTTGACTCTTCGGTCAAATGGAAGATCATAATACCTCCTTCACAGAGTTTCTGTGAGTTTTAAGTGAGTTAGTACACGTGTGCTTGGAGACATACCTGATGTCTTGTAAGAGTTCATCATTAAGTACTAGAATAATGAGATGCAATAAGACTTTGGATCAGTAATTATGTTGAACCTTTAGTGAGCTCCAGATCTGAATCAAGGAAGAATATTCATTTGCTTGTTTCATAAACACCAAGATAACCATGTCACAGGCATGGTGCTCCTAAAAATGCTCACTCTAAAAAGAAGTTCAGCAAAATTATAGCACAATTCTTTGTGTTCTATATGTCTACAGATGTTGGTTATTATTAGTCAAATGAAACAAGTCAGTTCCCAAGATTTCTGGACAGTGGATAGTTTTGGTAATAAGGAGATATAATTAATATGGTAATAACCCAGGAATTTGGGATCACTCAAATCCTGCCCAGATGAGCTTCCTCTCCACACAAATTCTCTGCAGGCTATCTTTGCATAAAATCAAAACTTTGTTGTCAGCTTAAGCTTTGTCCCCAAATAGCCTTCATTTGGGCCTTGAGGCATACAATTCAAATCTCATTGATTCCTACTGGATAGCTGCAGTGGAAAGTATTGAAAGTCATTCGCTGGAGGTCTAAGCAAATCTCTTCTGATAAAATTCTTTTTGTCTGCCTGCAAGAGGGACAGTAGTATCCCTGATGGACCAAAGACCTGGTTCTTAAGCCCCACGCATGAACAAGTGAAATAAAAAAAGTGAGATAACATTGACCTCTATAGGATGTGAAGCTAAGTAATCTATGGGCACTTCCCCCAACCCTCCCCCGCACTGCCGCCCCACCACCTAGTCTTTGCTGTTTTTCTCCCTCCCTCTCTCCTGCAGGAAGATTGCTGCTGTGTCTTAGTCAGATTCCAGGATTGCATCTTGGCTCATAGTCTTAGGGAAGGAACTGTCAACATGGTAGTCACCGCACCCTCAGAGAGCAGGTCTGCTTTCCTTAGTGAGGTCTCCCACACGGCTTTGTTTGAAGCCCCCTCCTTAGATGCTATCCTTCTGCCTGAGAAAGGTTTTAGGTAGCAAATTCCAGAATATCTCCCTCTTTAGTAAGCTGCTTTTTGCTTTTGAGTCTGGTCTTTCCTTTGGCCTGAGTGGTGAATTTCAAGACTTGGGTTTGGTCTTTGTATAGAACAGGAAGAACGTGGTGTTTGGCTACCTTGATTCTGGGACATCCGGCTGACCCAACGTAGCCAAATACCAAGATAAAGGCATGAGAGATAGATTTGTTTGATAGTGTAAGTCATTTCCCCCCCAGAAATATATTAAGTCTGTGTTCCATATGTGGCAGAATTACCCAAGCCAGATTTCTTTCTGTCTCTGTGATTTCTTTCCTTTTTAATGCATTCATCTTTTGGAGACTACCTGGACTTATATTGCCTTGCAAAAGCAATATTCAGCAGAAAAATCAATCTTTTGAATACTTTAAACAGATATAGGTCCAGAATGTGTTACGGAAACAGTTAAAAACAACCACAGCATAAGAGCAAAACTTCTAGGATGAATATGCTGTATTCATCACTGTGTTCTTTAAATTATAGGGAAGGCCAAAAATCCCACTGGAGACTCCAGCCTACACTGGGCAGCCATGGCATTGCCAGCATTCTTTTCTCTTATAATTGGCTTTGCTTTTGGAGCCTTATACTGGAAGGTAAGTGTTGCCATTCCTTTTTTTAATATGCTATGTTTACATAAATTATTAATCTTTTTTCCTCAAGAAATGATCCATTACGAAAACAGTGAATTCTACCTTAGTTTATAATCTAAACAAAATTTAAATTTTAGAAAGTTTCCCATTTCTCATTACATCTGGAGACAATCCCTGTAGCTGATTATTCACACTTAAGAATTAGGAACTTGCCGGGCGCGGTGGCTCACGCCTGTAATCCCAGCACTTTGGGAGGCCGAGATGGGCGGATCACGAGGTCAGGAGATCGAGACCATCCTGACTAACATGGTGAAACCCCGTCTCTACTAAAAATACAAAAATTAGCCGGGCGCGGTGGCGGGCGCCTGTAGTCCCAGCCACACAGGAGGCTGAGGCAGGAGAATGGCGTGAACCCGGGAGGCGGAGCTTGCAGTGAGTGGAGATCGCGCCACTGCACTCCAGCCTGGGAGACAGAGCAAGACTCCGTCTCAAAAAAAAAAAAAAAGAATTAGGAACTAGCGTTAATAACCTGAACTAAATATGAAAAGGAAGATCTGCCAAAAATCATATGATATACTTAAAAGATAAATAGAAATGTCATTTGTATTATCTGCTATTTTTGGATTTCTACTCTTTTGTTCTCTTCTTATTGAAGCCTGTCTAAAATTTAAAAATGTGCAAAAATCATTGTGATTCAGCTTCTTGAAATGTCTTTTGAATTTGATTAAATGTCAACTTCTTTCTTACTCTTTCTCCCCCAACATCCTAAAAATGTTGAGTTGATGGTACCGTGCAACTTTCATAATTTTTTATTACAAAAACATTTTGCATGCTACATGCTGAAAAAAACTGTTATTGGAGTTATTGACATAAAAGATAAAAGTGGAGTGCACTTACCTCTTAAATATTAGACCATTCATTGATCGTTTTACAGCATGTGTGTTTCTTCTTTTTCCAGAAGAGACAGCCAAGTCTTACAAGGGCAGTTGAAAATATACAAATTAATGAAGACGATAATGAGATAAGGTATTTTGTTTTGCTAAATGTGTGCCTAATCAAGCATGGCATTGCCATTTCACACGCTGTGTACATGCCCAGAATGTCTTTAAGAAGTCCTTAATTCATGACAGTAGCTCCTAACCAGTGAGTCCCAACTCTTTATCCATCTTTCTGATGTCTCACTCTCTCTTCAATGCTGCATCTCGATTTACCTGTAGAATACCTTCACATAATTGTTTTCTTGACCCTTCTTAGGGTTTATAAAGGGGTTACCTCTGCTTTCTTATTTAAGTAAGGCAGCAGAATCTTCTCAGACTCCTAGTTGTGGAACTCTGGAGGCATATTTGCTCATGTTCTTTCTTTTCCACACTTTTATCAAAACATACTGATTCAGCTCTCAGAGCCTTTTCCTAAGCTTAGTTCTTTTGGTAGGAAGCATTATCATCACTGACATCTTTATGATCTCATGAGTTGCTGCCACTGATCTTTTCTTTTGCCCTTCTAAACTCAACCTTTAGTCACACTCTTCTGTAAACACTGGTTCGTAGTGTGACTTCTTATTCGAAATATGTTCGTGATTTTCTCTTGTATATTTAATATATCTTTTATTTTACTCTGGCTTTCAGAGCCCTTAACTTTTCTCAGCATGCTCGTTGTTTTCTGTAAAGCCAAATGCAAAATTTGCTGTAAGATGACTTTCCGTTCTCTGTAGCTGGCTCTTGTTACTCTTTCACCTTACCCTATACTGCCCAGTGCTCATATGTTCCCTTACCTTTGATTATAATTTTCATTTGGTGTGTTGCATTCTCTCATGTCATGCCTATTGTATACACAGACACATATGAAATGCATATAGGCATGTTTGGTGTGTGTATATGCATATACAGAGAAAGAAATGTTTTAACTACTTTGAAAGACTACCTTAAGACAAATGAGGTCTTCCCTCCTCCCTATAGTAATAAGAAGGTAAGCTCCCCATTAAATTTTGCAATCTTCTACTACTGTATTTACAGAAAAGCTGCCTTTTACAATGCCCAGGTCATGGTGTACCTCAGAATCTCTGACTAAGAGCAAATAAGCATGACTTTTTTTATTTTTTTAAATTTTTTATTTTTTATTGTTTTTCAGTATGTTGCAAGAGAAAGAGAGAGAGTTTCAAGAAGTGTAATTGTGGCTTGTATCAACACTGTTACTTTCGTATATTGGTAAGTTTTTTTTCTTTCCTTTTTTTTTCTTTTTTTCTTTTATTCTTTAAGTTCTAGGGTACATGTGCACAAAGTGCAGGTTTGTTACATATGTATACATGTGCCATGTTGGTGTGCTGCACCTATTAACTTGTCATTTACATTAGGTATATCTCCTAATGCTATCCCGCCCCCCTCCCCACCATGGCATGACAGGCCCCAGGGTGTGATGTTCCCCGCCCTGTGTCCAGGTGTTCTCATTGTTCAATTCCCACCTATGAGTAAGAACATACAATGTTTGGTTTTCTGTCCTTGAGATAGTTTGCTCAGAATGATGGTTTCCAGCTTCATCCATGTTGCTATAAAGGACATGAACTCATCCTTTTTTACAGCTGCATAGTATTCCATGGTGTATATGTGCCACATTTTCTTTAACCAGTGTATTATTGATGGACCTTTGGGTTGGTTCCAAGTCTTTGCTATTGTTAATAGTGCCACAGTAAACATATGTGTGCATGTGTCTTTATAGCAGCATGATTTATAATCCTTTGGGTATATACCCAGAAATGGAATGGCTGGGTCAAATGGTATTTCTAGTTCTAGATCCTTGAGAAATTGCCACACTGTCTCCCACAATGGTTGGACTAGTTTACAGTCCCACCAACAGTGTGAAAGTGTTCCTATTTCTCCACATCCTCTCCAGCACCTGTTGTTTCCTGACTTTTAATGATCACCGTTCTAACTGGTATGAGATGGTATCTCATTGTGGTTTTGATTTGCATTTCTCTGATGGCCAGTGATGATGAGCATTTTTTCATGTGTCTGTTGGTTGCATAAATATTTTCTTTTGAGAAGTGTCTGTTCATATCCTTTGCCCACTTTTTGATGGGGTTGTTTGATTTTTTTCTTGTAAATTTGTTTAAATTCTTTGTAGATTCTGGATATTAGCCCTTTGTCAGATGGGTAGATTGTAAACATTTTAATTCAAACTGAAGTATTTAGCTAGAACTATACAGCATATGAGATGCCAGAATTTATAAACAAACTTCATTAGTAAGTGGTCTATCAAGCAGATGTCAGCATGTTGGCTGAAGTTGTTACATAATTGAAATGTGCATATCTAATTCATTGTGTATTCTCCAGTTTTGAAAGGTAAGCAGTGTTTGTCCTGACTAGTGGATTCATCTTGTATGGGAGATGCACAAAAAAATTAACAGTTGTATGTTTACTTGGACTGTTTTTGAGGCCAGAAAATTAATTAGACAAGGGGAATATAGCAAATTAGGACTAAAATTAAGTATTACTAATAGAATAAAGACATATGGAATCAATTTTATTTAGGTGTGACCACCATAACATGACGGTGTCCCATGTGTTAGATGCTGAAACAAGAGAAAACCAGAATGTTTCCCTGCCATTTTAAGGAAAAAGAGAAAACATCCAAATATCTTACAGTCAGGAGAGTAAGATTTTCAAGGTCAATTGCCACTTTCCACATGACTAGTAATAATTATGCATTATAATAGTTCAGAGCCCAGGATACACTGAGCATAAACGCATGGCAGACACATGCTGTGATTGTATGGGTCTGCGGAAGGATTGTGGGAGAAAGGAGAGTAAGATGTGGCTAGAAGTTACTAGTGATCATTATCTCCTGTCCTGTCTACTTTCTCTGCTCCCTTGCTGCAGATACTGTTGCAGGAAGACCCACAGCTGCCTTAACTTAATCAGTATTGATTCATGCTGTCCCTCACTTTTGCTTCTGCTAATTGGCTGTTATTTTTGTTACTGCCATGGAATCCTGAGTGCATTTACCACAGTGGCATGCGAATATTCTCTTCTCTTTCTAATTCCTCATTTCTTCTGTGCATTCCCTCATTGTCAAAGGATTATTTACTCTCCTCTTTATTACCTAGATAGTCTGTGGTGAGTTCCTTCTTTACCCGGCAAGTCACTGCCCTTCCAGCTTTAACCCCTGTCCCAGCTTCAGAGATTTATCTCTAGGCGGAATCTTCTTCAGTGGAGCTGAGTCATAAAGTATCTGGCCTCCTGTGATGAGCTTACTTTTATGGTTATACAACATTTTTTTAACAACTCAAGATAACATGATATAATTATGTTGCACATTTCTCTAACACTGTAATACTTTATTCTACATACTCTGTCACTTTTACCTTCAATCATACTCTTGATTAACATGTCCATACCATGAATAGCACCCTCTGTTTTCTGCTGCCCATTCCCACTTCTTTCTAGGCTCATTCTTCCTGTCAAATCATGTAAATGGATAGAACCTTTGCTTAACACTTTTTATTTTCTGGAGCAGTATTTCCCAAGCTGAAACGATGCTTTTTCCTAAAAATTCATTTTTTTGCCTTTGAACCGTAAGATGAGATTCACTGTTTTCTTTTTGGTTTTTTTTCCTTTTCTTCTTCTTCTTGACAGCCATTTCAGTTCTCTCAAGCAGCATTCACAAACCACACATTAAATGGTTAATTGAATCTTAAATGCTCAAGTAATGTCCTCTGTTGTTTGGTTTGGGATTGCATTGCTGGGATCCTGTTTTGGCACACAGGTCTTTAATCATGTGGTTTTAATCATGACATTTGGGAGTGGATTAGGATACGGAAACCCAGGCCACTTGTTTAGGAGGAAAAAAGATGGTATTTTAAAGCAACCATAGTCAAACAACTTATGTATGTTTGAATACTCAGTTAGCATTCCAAGACAAGAGCTGGGTCTTTCTGTTTCTTGCTGTACCCTCAACACCTAACATGCTACCTGTGCACTGTTGGCTCTCTATAAATGTTTGTTGAATGAGAGACTGAGTGAGTGACTCAGCCCTAAATGAAAGTTTAAGCAAATGGCAAAGAAGATTGTTCTTCTGAAGTAGGATTTGTTTTTATCTTTTGTGTGAATGTGCGTGTTTAATTTATTGGCTTGGATTAATGAGACAGCAAGGTATGCATATGAAGAGGGAATATAATCACATAGGAAATTAATAAATTATTTTTCTTAAGGTATGAATTATTACTCATGTATAAAATGAATCACATTAGCCGGGTTAAAGAAGCCAGAATTATCCAGAAAAAAAAAAAAAAAAAAAAAAAACCCAGCTCACTTATTGAGTAGTCAATGGGAAATAGATCACAGAGTGAATGAAAACGTGACTCATTCTCCTTCATAAAGTGCCTTACTCATCATCTCTGCAAAGCTCTGCCAAGGCTCAGGTCACATACTACCACCTACAAAAAGCTGACTTCCCAAATGAAAATAATCTCTATTTGTGGCCCTCTAAATAGATTTCATACGACCCTTGGTAGGACATCACAGTCACTTAAATGAACATTTTGTGCCCTTTTCAAAACCATAAGCTCTTAGGGGGCAGGATTTTTTTTTTCTTAATTTAATTTTGGAGCCCTACTAAACAATGTCACTTATACTGTGCACATATAAATGATGAATAACTATTTGTTGAATAAGTTAATGGAAAGATGAATGAATATCTCAGAATTACAATAACATGAGAATAAAATTTATGAAGATAAAAACAGAAATAAACTTGTATGTGTGTATGAGTACATAAGAATTCAAATGCTGAGGGAAAAGTAGGGAAAGAGGGAGAAAAGGGCCAGTTCATCATCAAGAATCTGAAAATCCCAAAGTAAAAATGAGTGTATATCATTTGTAATCATCTATTGACTACCCATTATATGAAGTAAACCCTTACATTTGGCCTCATACTAACAGAGATGGAAAACTCTCCAAGGAACTCTTAAGTCTAGTTCCTAGATAGGTGTGTAGTAGAGGGAAAGTCTGGGAGACCGAACTATGATGTGGTAGGAGAGAAAATCTTCTAAAAAATAAGAATAACCGTAGTAAAAAATACCAAGATAGAAATAAAATGTGGAGTTGCAATTATACGTTTAAAAATATATATAATTTGAATTATAATCATTTTCTTGGTTAGCAGGGAAGGGGAAAATACAAGGAATGACTCAGGTTTATGGCAAGGATTTCTCTCTGAAATGGAAGTTTCACCAACTAAAACAAATTAAATCAAGACAAATATTGGAACACTAGAATAGAGAACATATGGGCTAGTTCTCGGGAAATGAAAAGAAGGAGGGTTTAATATCTTAAATACAAGGAACAAACGTGGAAGGAGTATATTGAACTAGAAACAACAACAAAGAGAGTTGCACCTAGGAAGAAATATGCCAAGAGTGGTGGCTCATGCCTTTTATCCCAGTACCTCGGGGGCTGAGGTGGGAGGATCACTTGAGCCCAGGAGTTTGAGACAAGCCTAGGTAACATAGGAAGACCCCATCTCTACAAATAATTTAAAAATTGGGTGGGCATGGTGAGACACCTGTGGTCTCAGCTACTCAGGAGGTTGAGGCAGGAGGATTGCCTAAGCCCGAGAGTTTGAGGCTGTAGTAAGCCATGATCAAATCACAGCATTCCAACCTGGGTGATGGAGCAAGGCCTGGTCTCAAAATATAAAAATAAAAAATTAACTGAAGTTGTGTTTATTTGACACTATGCATGAGAATAGCTATGTGAAAAGTTAAAAATTTACTTGGTCACATAGGTTATGCCAAGTATCCATAGTAGCATCCTACAAAAACCTTTTTCATATTGTGTTGTGTATAGCAAAGATTAAGATAAATAAATAAAACAGATACATTACATTAAAAGCTTTATTTAGGTTAATACATTACAGGAAACTTTTGCTCTTTACTCTTCCCACAAATGTGATTCCAACAACCTCTAGTAGGTACATTGATGGATGCAAAGCTTAATATAACTTCGTTGTGTCCTCAGATTGTTTATAGCCTACAAAAGGAAATCAGACATATACATAATACTCTGCATATGGTCCTACAAGTTGGGAATTCAACACAGTTCTAGAAACTGGCATGGATGACATCTTAGAATTGAGCACACCCAAATACAATTGCCTATTTTTGAAAGGAGAGAGAAATCACTAACAATAGGAGAAAAGCTTCACTTTGTAAGTGATGGACGTAGCATCTGTACAGAGCACACAGCGTAAACTAAGTCAGGAAAGTCCCAAAGTAGAAACTATGTTCAAGGGTCAGTTTGGACAGTTGGATTCCAGTGGAAGTCACATATAAAGAGTTAACATGCTGAGAAGAAAGGGTGAGCATCAGTTTGAGAAAGGGTTTGAATTCCAGGAATGGAGCTTAAAATATAAGCTTGTGTCACATAAGGAGCTATTGGGATAAAATGCTATAAGAAAGATGTGGGTGACAATCAAAGCAGAGATGTGGGAAAACTAATTCGGTGTTGGTATGGCAAGATGTATGGGAATGGTTAACTAGAGAAATGGAGTCCACTTACCAGGCCAGTCTTCAAATAAGATGTGAGAGAGAATGACAACAGAATTAGCATCAGGGCCAGGAAATAAGAAAGCATAGACCATTTGAAGACATTGCAGTAAAAGAATCAACAAATCCTAGTTACTAATGGGATGTGAGATTTGTCATTACAGGCAGAACTCAAGAATGATTTGGAGACTATGGGACGTACCAGAGTGTGTCCCACTCTGTTATTAACAGGAAATGTGAAATCAGGTGAAGAAGCTGTTGGTAAATATTATTGAAACTGACCAGTGGCCAAATATGTTAGACTGGAACTTCAGATAACAGTCAGGCCTGGAAAGAACAGATTTGCAATTTGAGAGTTATCTGCAAAGAATTTTATTTGAGACCTTGAAAGAAAAATTGCTTCGTCACAGAAATGGCCTCGTGTAGTTGATAGTAAATAGCATGGGTTTGATTGTGGAGAGGTTCACCAAAGAAATACAAACAAAATTTCCTGTATATCTGAGCTAAGGGGGAAGAAAATAAATCTTAGAATTGGAATAAAGGACAATTTCAAGTCAAGCTTGGAAATTTAGGCCTCAAGGCTTGGGAATGGTTGGTTACCAAATGGCAAGATCTGTGATTCTTTGCCAGATATTTCCTAAGACTTTTCCAAAGCTTTGGAAGTTTGGTTTCTGTAGATAGATTGTAAAGCAGATGATTAGAAGGGATTAGACTTGGGTTCAAGCCTTGACTCTTTGGTATACGTATAATACTAGATGAGTTTATATCAGTTACCAGTTCATGTCTTTTAAACCTTGGTTTTTCATGTGTAATGAGGGTTAATGATAAATTTTCTCTTCTTATTTCACAAGGGTTCTTGCAAGACCCAGGTTGTCATTATAAAAATTTGTAGTTTTGTTCTATGGGAAAACAGGTGTCAGTCTTTAAGTTTATTTTCTTTGCTAAGTGACCCAGGGACAAAATCAAAAATAGATTTCCAATCTTCTCTACATATAATTATCTTGCTCTCGCTCTTTTTTTTTTTTTTTTTTTGAGAGAGAGAGAGAGAGTCTTGCTCTGTAGCCCAGGCTGGAGTGCAGTGGTGTGATCTCAGCTCACTGCAACCTCCGCCTCCTGGGTTGAAAGGGGTTTTTGTGCCTCAGCCCCCCCGAGTACCTGGGACTACAGGTGTGCACTACCACTCCCAGCTAATTTTTGTATTTTTAGTAGAGACAGGGTTTCACCATGTTGGCCAGGCTGGGCTCAAACTCCTGACTTCAGGTGATCTGCCTACCTCAGCCTCCCAAAGTGCTGGGATTACAGGCGTGAGTCACCATGCCCGTCCTACATTTAATTCTCTACATTCAGCTTTGTGTTTCAAATTATTTACACCTTTAAAAAATACATTCTTTTGCTTTTTGTGATTCCCTTTTGCTTTCTAACCATGCTTTTAAAATATTTTCTATATATTTTGGATTTCTGAAGTTTTATCTTAGTTTCTGTTAATTTTTGTTCTAGATTTAATTCTGATTTCCTAAATACAGGTTGTCTAGCTTCTAGAGTTCTCTGTTTGTTAAATTGTTGTATAAGACAGTTTTTAATATATTATAGTTAGGCAGACTGGGAAAACATTGCAATTCTTATTACTCACACTATGGAATTTTATGGCTAATCTGTGTAATGATCTCAATACTTTAAAAACAGTGATCTGTGACGCTGGGTTGATAAACAAGGACAAAAGTAGTGAAAGAGATTGAGCAGAGAAGATGAGAAATGCAAAACACATTTATTTAGAGACTGTGATTGAAGATGGGATGATGATACCATCTAAATATATTTTTTTAAGTAAAGAAGAAATACAAATACTTTACTGGAAAGTTGAAACATCTGAAACCTAGTAGATTAACACAAGTACTGAAGAACTAAAACAAAATATGGCTTTCATGCTTCAACAAGTACAATAAGCCACACTGAGGCCAAATGACCTTCCACAGAAGCTTTGTGGGATGTGGTGCCAAGATTTCAGTCTTTCTTTTTTTGGCTGGAAGTGTTGGATGAAGTCTTTCTGCTGCTGTTTCCTCAGCTGGGAGAAATGATTGCTAGAACCTAACTAGATAGTCAAGATACTAGAGTGGCTCAGTGGCCATGTGAGGCTATTACTTGTTGGTGGCCACTGACCAGCTTCTCCACCTGTCCTAGGGATCTCTTTCATGCTACTCCATCTATCTCCACTTCTCTGGTCTCCACTCTCCAGACACTTCTTTGTTCATCAATCCTTCTCCCTTCACCCCCATCTACTACCTTTTATAGTCTTGCTGGAGAAATTCAAAGCTAACTAGGTTGATAATTGTATTACCACAAACTGAGATCATTGGTAGAATGTCAAGAGGTATGAAAGTTATAGAGTGAAATATTTATTGAGTATCTGTTAAGTGCCAGGCATTGTTATAAGGGTGGAGGTACAGCGTTAAAAGAGATGGAGAAGCTCCCTGCCCTCATTGAGCTTACATTTTAATGGGAGGACATAGATAATAAACAATAAGTAAGATTGTTCATATAATGTGTTACCAGGGAGATCATAGAAAGTGACTGATCACTGCATCTAAGAAAACATTTATCAAGTTCTTTTATGCTATGTAAGTGAAGCATACATTGTAAATCTGTTACTCATTCTGTGGTCATACATGATTTCAGCTACTGAGATTTTTAAAAAGGCAGAAGGCAGATACACCATAATCTCTCTTTTTGTTTCCTTCCTTTCTAGGCTGGTAACAGTTCATGTTTGCTTCATAAATGAAGCAGCTTTAAACAAATTCATATTCTGTCTGGAGTGACAGACCACATCTTTATCTGTTCTTGCTACCCATGACTTTATATGGATGATTCAGAAATTGGAACAGAATGTTTTACTGTGAAACTGGCACTGAATTAATCATCTATAAAGAAGAACTTGCATGGAGCAGGACTCTATTTTAAGGACCTGCAGGACTTGGGTCTCATTTAGAACTTGCAGCTGATGTTGGAAGAGAAAGCACGTGTCTCAGACTGCATGCACCATTTGCATGGCTCCAGAAATGTCTAAATGCTGACAAAACACCTAGCTTTATTCTTCAGATACAAACTGCAGCCTGTAGTCATCCTGGTCTTCGCAAGTAGATTTCAGCTTAGATAGTAGGGGTAACAATTTTTCTCAAAGGGATCTAGAAAAAAATGTTTAAAACTCACTAGTGTCAGCCACTGTACAGTGTGGAAAGCAGTGGGAACTGTGATTGGAGTTGGCAGCATGTCAGCTTTTATAGTTACTGATTAGTGATATGGGTCTGATTTTGATCTCTTCCTGATGTAAACCATGCTCACCCATATCCCACTAAACAAATGCAAATGGTTGCCCGGTTCCATTTATGCAAAGGAGCCAGTACTGAATTATGCCTTGGCAAAGGGGAGACTCTCCAAAAGAGTCATCGCAGGAAGAAGTTAAGAACACTGAACATCAGAATAGTCTGCTGAGGAGGACATCGGCATCCTGGGAAAGTCTGCCTTTTCCCTTGACCACTATGAGATGTATAAATCGTGTTTGCAAAATATGTTATGATGTGTTTATACTCTAAAACTATTACAGAGCTATGTAAAGGACTTAGGAGAAAATGCTGAATGTAAGATGGTCCCATTTCAATTTTCACTATGGGAGAGAATAAAAATAAATTATGACATTTAGTATCTAACATTAGAAAACCAAGCCCACATGCTAATATGGGTGTTGAAAACTAGGTTACTTGGAATGCAAGGAATCAGGAAACTTTAGTTATTTATAGTATAATCACCATTATCAGTTTAAAGGATCCATTTATTTAAAATCAGGCACTCTATATTCATTAAGCTTTTTGAATTAAAAATAAAAAGAAAGCTTTATGTAGTTATGCATGTCAGTTTGCTATTTAAAATGTGTGACAGTGTTTGTCATATTAAGAGTGAATTTGGCAGGAATTCCCAAGATGGACATTGTGCTTTTAAACTAGAACTTGTAAGACATTATGTGAATATTCCTAGCCAGTTTTTTTTAATAATCAAGAAAACGTCCGAGTAAAGTTAAAGAATGATTTCTTACGGTTTATTTTGATGAAACTTCTTTTAACATGTCTTGAATGTACACATAAAGGAATCCAAAGCTTTCCATTCTAACTGAATCTTTGTGATAACATTATTGCCATGTTCTACAACCATAAGATGACAGTTTTCAATGTAGTGACACAAAAGGGCATGAAAACTAACTGCTAGCTTTCCTTTCATTTCAAAAGTCCAAGAATTTCTAGTATATTTAGATTTTAGCTTCTGTTCAAAGCTAATCCAGATGCAACTCCAGTAAGTGGCCTTTGCTCTTTTTTGTACCAAAGAGCCCAGATGATTCTTACAGTCTAACATGCTGTGGTTCCTTAAATATGAGTAATTTCTCTAAGATGTAACCCAGGTGCTTTGAGAAGCTGCATTAAGGTGTTCAGGCCCTCAGATATCCCATGGTACACTTGATTAGTAATAAAACCAGAGATCAGTTTAATTGCTGATAGGTCCTGTCTCGGTGTGTGGCATTGATTGTTTTCAGGAAAATAGATAGAGATTAATATGAGTTATGTGTGTATTTCGTGTATAGATTGAGAAGATAGATACTTCTCAATCTAGTAGTTTGATTTATTTAACCAGTGGTTTCAGTTTGCTTGAGCATATGAAAATGCTGCTTAATGTGCTTAAGAGTATAATAAATGTACTTTTGTCCTCAAACCTAGTAGCTGGATTTTAACACTCATGGACATGGTCTTAATCAATGGAGTTAAATAAACAAATTCAGCAAGTTATTAAATCTGACATGGTAGGAGAGGGGAGATGTGTCCTGCTTATTAAATGTATTGGTCCATTGAAAGTTACATGGATTGCCAATTTTTAAAACACTAAAGTTGAATAAAATGCATGAACAATAGAAAAATGCTGAACGTTATTTTGAATGCTAGCTGCTTGGACATTAACTGTGTCATTTCTGCTTTGAGATAAAAATATATATTTATCTTTGCTTATTTTATCCCAGATGTGTTCTGAATATCCTTCTTCATAAATCATGGAAAACTAACTGCTGACATAGTAAACCATGAAATCGCCTTTTCAGTTGGTGCCATGTATCTGATAGTTCCATCTTACAAGGTTTCAAAATTACCTTTTAAAATGATCTCAGAAGTCTGCAGATTCTCAATGATACTGAAAGCTTCGCACCTCTTTGGTAGAAACCAAGTCTATTTAAAAAACGGCTTTATGATAAATGGTGCCTCCTGAGTGATAATGAAGTGTTGCTGGATATTGTGTTGTAATTTAATACGCTTACCACACTGCCACCCTTTAATGAGTCAGAGACAAATTGATTTTTCTTCAATACAATAATAGAACAAGTAGCCTATTCTCTTAAAAAGTATGTGAAAAAATGAAAATTATGAAAAATTATGCATACCTAATGAATTATTGGTTTTAGTAAGAAATAAATACATTTCATTGAACTTTAAAGTACTTTGGAGAAACTTTGGGTCCCGTTTTGCTACTCTAATTCAACTGAAGTTATAAATAAAGAGAAAAATTCATTCAGAAATCATGGATATTTAAAAATGTTTTACTGCAGCCAAGTTTTCATTTCAAAATGTAATTCCAGTTTGGAGCTTTTAGGCATTCTGTATATTTAAAAAGTATATTCTTCAAAAATGCATTTTGGCCTGGTGGGATGGATGTTGCAAAAGATCATCCAGAGCCTCCAGTGTGTCATTAACTGATACGGTAAATCACCTCTCCTCTTTGGATCTCAATTTTTTATTTATCTATATGGTAAACTCAGAGATCACTCCTTAGGGGTGAGTCCTATTGCAATATGACTGACAAAGAAGATAAAATAGCATTGAAACTAACCCATAGAAAATATCCAATTCTGGACTCTGTGAATAAGTATCTTGACTATAAAAAGTCATTGCTGTTCTTGTTTCTAATGTAAATAGTGTCCATTAGTAAAAGTGAAATTCAGTCTCAAGTAGGGTGAATTGGATCACCATTTACACAAGAGATGGCTTTTTCCTTTGCTTAAATAAACATTTTGGATCACCTCCAAAGAATGAAAACCAGTAGTACATTTTAGTCATATTAGTCAGGATGAGAAACTGTAAGATGTGTGTAACATTTGGAAATGCACCAAAGTGAGCGTTTAAATCTTTTCATTTTATTGAAAACTAAGAGCAGAAAATGTAAAATGCTCATGAAGTTTTTGAATGCCAAAAGATATTTTAGAACCAATTTATAACGGAGTAATTCATTAATTACACTTTAAAATTGGAAAGTGGGATAAGAATTCTAAAGTAAACCAGCTTATCTTTGATACAATATTATTTTGAAATTGGCTTTAAAATAAAACCATTCAGGTTGAAATTCTAATTAGTTCATTTGTGGAATTTGATCACACAATTCATAGTGTTGCTGCTTTCCATTAACTAGTCTTGAAATGCCTTTGTTTGTAAAAATAAAATAATGGTACTTTCATTTTATAACAAGGTGTTTTTTTAAAGAAATAATCCATGCTAAAATGGATATTCGTGATCCTGAAATGTTTACTAAGCATTGTAAATTTATTTATAACTGCCATCTCCAACTACATCCTTATGATGTTTTTAACAATAAAATTAAAACAATTGTTTAAACTAAAAACCACACCGTTTTCCAGTACTTGATCTCTGAGCTACAAGACTCGCTAAATATAATTTTCCAATCAAAATATTTTATTCTCCTATATTCTAAGGATTAATATGTGATTATAGTGTCCACTTGCCACCATTTTTTTAATCAATGGACTTGAAAAGTATTAATTTAGATGGATGCACAGATATACCCTTAGTTCAGTCATAGATTGGAGTTTGCATATAATAATGTAAATGTATGTCAACACTATTCTAAATAGTTTTATTATGACTGAAATTTAATTAAATAAAAAAGATTGTAAAATGTGATGTGTATGTGTATATACTGTATGTGTACTTTTTAAAATAGGTGTATGTCCCGACCCTTTTTTATACAGGTTTGAATTTAAATTTACATTATATATACATATACTTTATTGTTCTAAATAAAGAATTTTATGCACTCTCATAAATTTGCCCTGTCATTTTATATCTTAAGTTTATCACATATGTTTACAACATGATTGAGCATTTATTAAACTACAGTCAAAATTTTCTATGGAAACTTTTGTCATTAATCTAGCTTTTGTTGAAATATGGACACAAGGAGATATGAAATCATTTAAATTCAATAAATATTTATTGATTACTAAGATAAGTAATCAAGGAAAATAAAAAATGAATTAACACGATGTTTGCTTTCAAGAGGTTTATAACTTGGTTGGGGAAAAGAAATGCAATAGATATATAGAAAAACACTATAATAGATATAGCTTAGGGCATGCAGGAAGGAAAAATGGATACAGAATGAGGAGGACTGTGGAGGAGCTGATGTTTGGACTAGTACTTAGAAGGATGAGACAAATTTTTATAGTGAGAATTATGCCCAGTCAGAGCAGCATTTTCCATAGAAAGAAGTTATAAAATTTCTAATATTATTTTATCAAATCAAACAGGTATGTCCTTAACACACACCGTATAAAAAGACATATGCAGAGATAAGACCAGAGCCTTCAGTGTAACAACAGGGAGTGCAGACACTATTCTTAGGGTCCCTGAGAAGCCTAGACTCCTTTGCTTTTTTCTGAGAAGAGGAATGACAAGATCAAAACCCACTACAGCTTCTGTGATTTAGGCAGTAGATAATCATCCTGCTTAACCACTGCATGCTATTTGACTCTCAAGCACATACCCCTGCTATATGACACCACACTTATCACCCACCATTTCTTTTCAGAATTTGCTGATTCTCTCTCCTCTGTTTACATTTTATATTGCCAACTTCGACCAATATATGACTAGATGATTAGAATAGCCTCCTAACTGATCACATGATTCTACTTTCACCCGTTTTCAACCAGTTCATCACATTATAGTGAATAATAGGGAGACATCTGGTTGGGGTGTGTGTGTGTTTGTGTGTGTGTGTGTGTGTGTGTGTGTTTCTGGCTAAAACACTTCGATGGCTTCTCACTATTTTTGAGATAAAACCCAAACTCTTCAACACGGCCTGCAAGGCTCAACTTGAGCCACCTCATCTTTTTTTTTTTTTTGATTGCTCGTTGTTGTCTTTAATCCATAAACAACATGAAGGTTGGGTCCATAAATACTGATATAATTGCAGTCCTCAAATGTAGTGCAAATGATAATTAGTGGAATTGAAACAAAATGTGATCTAAATGGCTATCACCTACTGCACTGAGAAGTTATTTTTTAAGATTATTATTATGGACAATTTTTTTTTTTTTTTTTTTTTTTTTTTTTGAGACGTAGTCTCGCTCTGCCGCCCAGGCTGGAGTACAGTGGCCGGATCTCGGCTCACTGCAAGCTCCGCCTCCCGGGTTCACGCCATTCTCCTGCCTCAGCCTCCCGAGTAGCTGGGACTACAGGCGCCCGCCACCTCGCCCGGCTAGTTTTTTGTATTTTTTAGTAGAGACGGGGTTTCACTGTGTTAGCCAGGATGGTCTCGATCTCCTGACCTTGTGATCCGCCCGTCTCGGCCTCCCAAAGTGCTGGGATTACAGGTTTGAGCCACCGCGCCCGGCCTATTATGGACAATTATAGACAATTTGAAATACATGCAAAAGTCGGCAAGATAGTCTAATAAATTCATATAACCATAACCCTACTTCAACCTTACTCAACTCCTAAATAATCTTGTTTTATCTAAACTCCCTATCCACTCCCTGTTTCATATCATTTTCAGGAAAGTACTTAAATGTATTTGATCTGGAAATATTTCTGTGTATATCTCTAATTGTTAACTTTTAGAAAGCATAACCCTGGTACCCTTTTATACCTAAGAAAAGTTATTAATAATTTCTTAATATCAAAGAGCCAACAAGTATTTATATTTTAACTTTCTCATACTGTACACTGCAGTATTGCACTAGAGTAGGGTATAAAATACAGTTTAAAGTCCCCCTTGAACATTAAAGTTAGTTTCCCTGGAGATAAATACTGCTAATTATTCCTCATTAACTTCTGGAATTCTTTGGCATGTACAAACTATGTATGTATCTATATGCAATACTAGTCTCTAACCTTATCTCTCATTTATTAGGAGAACGTGGAACACTACATTAGCCTAGATAAATCTTTACCCACTGCACCCTAATAACCAGGAAATTATAGATAGGCATTATGATTGTAATATAATGTGTGCCCTTTGGAATTTCAGTACTCAGCAAAATCTAACATACTATCAGAACTTTTTTTAAATTGCCTAACTCAAAATTAAAATGAAGCTCTCTTTCAAGGACATATCAGCCTCAGAAGCACTCTCAATTGGTGGCTCTGTTCCTCCTACAGGTGTTACTGGATCTGGAGGTGGGTTCCCTGCTCCTCGTTGCAGCTTCTGGGTCATTCTTTTCTCATCCTTAGACCCTTGTAGATTAGAATCTCCTGCTATCATATTATATACCCACTGCCACTCATTTTTGCTTTCATGTAGTAACTCCCAGGTTTTTACACCTGGTTTCTTGATGGGTTTAGCACCTGGATGGATCATTGTCACTGGATTCATTTGTATAATACTATTCTTTTAATTATTGAGGATTATAATATAACCATAAATGGGCCTTTAAACATCCTGCACTTTCAGGTTATTGAACTTCTGTCCTCCTGGGAAACGTGCCTTCAACACTATTCTAACCGATCAGTCTCATGGTCTTCCTATACACCTTGTTGTTGCCATTGACTGCATCCCATTTTTATATCAACTGCATTCATTCCATCTCTGAGCACGACTTTGTATCTTTCCAGTTTACTCCCTCATATACCCCAATCCTAACCATCCTTTAACTCACTGGACCTGTCAACCTATTGGTTCTACCACTTGTTTTTTTTTACTACTGTCAACCTCTGATGCCCTGTCTTCTCTTCCTAGGTAGTTATTAAAATCTGTGGTCCAGCATTATCATTGTCCTCCTGCATACACCTTCTTCACCGTTGGTCCCTCTCACTTTCTAATATTTTTTTGGTAAACCACAGCCTGGCTCACATCCCATTCTCTACTCACCCTTTGTCTATACTTTTATGGCTAACATGGCTAGAGCACAATGCACCTTCAGGTCTACTGTTCTCTCTGTAAATTCCTTCCCATGAACTTCAAGCAGGCACTATATTTCCCTAGACCATTTGCTTTTTCTATTCTCAAAACAGACTATTTAATACATTATTTTCTCTTCCAAAACACTCACCTTGTTCCCCATTCTCACTCTTAGCTTATCTTGACTGCTACAGCACCTTGAATATTGAAGAAAAAAAAAAAAAGATAACTTTCAAAGACTCCTAGAAGCTAGAGGCTGATTTTCTGAAGCTTACATTTCAAAAACTCTAACCTATCCGGGTTATTTATAACTTCCAGGAGGGGGCCTAGGAATGTGTTCACATCGTGATATGTTTTTGTAAAATTTGCAGCGACTTTCATTTATCAGTGGCTGTTCTGGTGTAGGAATGGCTTTCAGCAACACTTCTACTAATCATGGCACCAGCTCACCAGGGCATCATGACCCAAAGGTGTGTGGCCAGAGGCTGTATCATGATGTGAACATGTCCTATAGACCTGGCACCAGAAGTATGTGCATAATGGAGGAGAAACAAGGTTTGAAATGAATGGACCCAGCAGCCCACTGTGGAAAATTCTCACAATCATAACAGTCCCCTGATGGGTGAAATTCTAAGTAGGAACTCAGCTTTTATTAGTACTTGACCAAAACGGAAATTTTCTCCTGTCAGGAAAATAGTAGAGTATACAATTATAAACAACCCATAAAAAGCCTTTTTTTGGTTGTTAATAATGAAGAAACACAATAGAATTTAACAAAACTGCTGTAGTTATAAAGCTAGAAAATATGTATGTCAGGTCACATGTTTTATGCTCCTAAAAGTACATTGGAAGCATAAAACATGTGACCTCACATACATATTTTGACAAATGCATAATATCATGTATCCTCCATTATATTATCATACATAATTATTTAAATACCCTTTTAAAAAATCCCTTGTTCTTCATGTATTCAGTGATTCTCCCCTCTCCCTGAATTTCAATGAACCACTGATGTTTTAACTGTCTTTTACCTTTTACAGAATGTCACATAATTAAAATCCTACAGTACGAACCTTTTCAGGCTGGCTTCTGTCATTTAACAACATGCATTTAAGATTCATCGATGTAGTTTGTGCCTTGATAGCTCATTTCTTTTTGTCAATGAATAATGTTTCATTGTAAGGATGTATCACAGTTTGTTTGTCAATTCACCTAAAAGAAAAAGACATCTTGGTTGCTTTCACTTTTTGACAATTATTAGTAAAGCTACTGTAAACATTAGTGTGCAACCTTTTGTGTGAACATGTTTTCAATTCCTTTTGATAATACCTAGAAGCACCATTGCCAGATTATATGGTAAGACTATGTTTAGATTTATAAGAAATTACCAAACTGTCTTCCCAAGTGGCTTTGCTATTTTGCATTTCCAGTAGCTATAAGTGAGAGTTCCCACTGTCCTTCATCTTGGCTAGCAATTGCTATTGTCAGTTTTTTGGATTTTAGCCATTCTAATAGGAGGGTAATGTTATATCATTATTGTTTCAATTTGCAAGTCCCTAATGACAAATGATGTTGAGCATCTTTTCATATGCTTATTTGCCATCTGTGTATCCTGTTTGATGAGATTTCTGTCCAAATCTTTTGTCCATTTTTAAATTGGGTTGTTCTTTTACTTATTGTTGGTTTTAAGAGTTCTTTGTATATTTTTATACAAGTTCATTGGTAGGTATGTGTTTTGCACATATTTTATTCCAGTCCATGGTTTGTCTTTTCATTCTCCTGTTTTTCACAGACCAGCTGCAAGCATTTTTTTAAAACGTTTAAGAACAGAGTGTATATCTTGATTGATTTATTCCCTAATCTCACAGAGAAAAAGCAGTCTCCACCCTACCTGAAGTTGATTACTTTGATATTTTGCACCTATCATATTTTCTTTGCAAGTTTCTCTTTTTGATGGAGTATTTTAAATACATGCAAACTTCGATCTTTCAGAGTTTTCATGTAGCGAAATGTTCTTTCATTATAAGACCTTGCAACATAATTAACAATGTTCTAATTACTTCTAAAATATCTTTTAATCTTCATTTCTTATTTTTTTAGAGACAGAGTTTCATTGTCACCTAGACGAGAACTATATTTTTAAAGACTTAAAAGGCTCCAACACATGAGAAGTAAAAGGTTGGTGGAATTCATGTACATTTAACTCCAATTTTAAAAGTTGCTTTAAAATGTTTTATAAAAACAAATATGAAATTATGAGCTCCTGATTCAAACATATGAAATGAGTGCAAAGGATCTCTTTCTGACATCTTTGTATTTATTTTGCTAAAGAACTGAGAGAATATTTAAATACAAAATAAACTGATATGAAACAAAAATCAATATAAATAATTGAGAAAATAAATTTAAATTATTCTAACTTTGAGAAGCAAACTGTAACAAAAAGTATCACATCAAAAGCAGTAATTTGTTAACAGGGAAAGATAACTTTCCAATAGTAGTTATGAATAAGCCCTTTGATTGCCTTACAATCAAATTAATAAAGAAAGTGTGTCACTGGAACACAATGGCAAATGATTTTAAGTTTTTGCTGATTTAATATAAAATACTACATTGATGAAAATAACTTAAAACACAATACATCTTCACAACAGGGGTATCAGACATAAACAGGTTAATGAATGTCATCAATTTTTAAAATATTTAAAATTAACCGCAGCAAAAGAAAAATGTAAAATGTCCTCAAATCTTACAGAGCTCATGAATAAGAAAAATCTTTACAGAGTTTTTTCCAAATTTGACAGTTCTACAAATTTACATGATATTGTCAAAATGAGCCGTAAAGATGAAAGAAACCTTCTACATTACCGATAGTAAAAACATAAGTAAATAAAATTGATCAATCATATCAATCATAGTAGTGTGATTGTGGTAGGAATACTAAATTATTTCTATAAAACATATTTGCTTATTTCTATACGAAGAAGTGATAAAAATGTATATAATAACAAAAGGGAAAATAATTGTTATAGGTATATGTCTGGCAGTTAACTAATCAAAATACTATTTTTAAAATTATCATAAAGTTTGTGTTTGTCAACCTCTTATAACTCACAGTTTTTATTATATCCTTTCCTTCTTAAAATATTTGTTTTCCTACCTACCTCTATATTCATAATATCTATATTATTTTTCTTAAAGAACCCACTAAACATATCAGTTTTGAGTCCCCCAAAAAACTGGATCCACTAAAATGGATTATTAAATCTTGGCTATTGCAAATAGTGTTGCAATAAACATGGGAGTACATATATCTCTTCAATATAGTGATTTGCTTTCTTTTGGGTACATACCTAGCAGTGGGATTTCTAGATCATATATGTTATTAATTTACATTCCCACCAACAGTGTACAATGGTTCCCTTTTCCCCACAACCTCACCAGCATTTATTATTGCCTGTCTTTTGGATACAAGCCATTTTAACTGGGAGGAGATGATAGATATCTCACTGTAGTTTTGATTTGCATTTCTCTGATGATCAGTGATGTTGAGCACCTTTTCATATGCCTGTTTGCCATTTGTATGTCCTCTTTTGAGAAATGTCCATTCATATATTTTGCCCAGTTTTAAATCAGATTATTAAATGTTTTCCCATTGAGTTGTTGAGTGCCTTATATATTCTGTTTTTTAATCCCTTGTCAGAAAAGTAGTTTGCAAATATTTTCTCTCACTCTTTGGATTGTCTCTTCACTTTGTTGATTGCTTGTTTCTTTTCCTGTGCAGAAGTTTTTTAACTTGATGTGATCCCACTTGTTCATTTTTGCTTTGATTTCCTTTGCTTAAGGAGTATTACTCAAGAAATCTTTACCCACTCCAATATCCTGGAAGGCTTCTCCAATATTTTCTTCGAGTAGGTTCATGGTTTGAGGTCTTAGATTTGTCTTTAATCCATTTTGATTTGATTTTTGTATATTATGAGAGATAGGGGTCTAGTTTGATTGTTCTCCATATAGATGTCATTTTCCCAGCACCTTTACAGACACTGTCTTTTCCTCAATGTATGTTCTTGCTTTGTTGAAAATGAGTTTACTACAGATGTATGGATTTGTTTCTTGGCCCTGTATTCTGTTCTATTGGTCTTTGTGTCTGTTTTTATGCCAGTATCATGCTGTTTGGTTACTATAGCTCTGTAGTTTAATTTGAAGCCAGGTAATGTGATTACTCCAGTTTTGTTCTTTTTGTTTGTGACAGCTTTGGCTATTCTGGGTCTTTTGTGGTTCCCTATAAGTTTTAGGATTCTTTTTTCTACTTCTGTGGAGACTGTCATTGGTATTTTCATAGGGATTGCATTGACTCTGTAGCTTGCTTTAGGTAGTATGAACATTTTAACAATAGCAGTTCTTCCAATACATAATATGAAATGTCTTTCTATTATTTTTGTATGTCTTCTTCAATTTCTTGAATCAATGTTTCTTGTAGATTTTATTGTAGAGATCTTTCACTTCTTTAGTTAATTCCTAAAATTTGTATTTTATTTTTGTCTGTTGTCAGATTAAATAGGATTGAATAGGATTACTTTCTTAATTTCTTTTTTAGATTGTTCACTGTTGGCCTATAGAAATGCCACTGATTTTGGGATGTTGACTTTGTATCCTGCAACTTTGTTGACTTCGTTTATTAGTTCTAATGGTTATCTTGTGGAGTCTTTAGGATTTTCCAAATATAAGATCATATCATCCGCAAACAAGGATAATTTGACTTATTCTTTTCCAATTTGGATGCCCTTTATATCCATCTTTTGTCTGATTGCTCAAGCTAGGACTTCCAGTACTGTTGGGTAACAGTGGTGACAGTGGGCATCCTTGTCGTGTTTTATATGTTAGAAGAAATGCTTTCAGTTTTTCCTCATTTAGTAAAATACTAGCTGTGGGTCTGTCATACATGGCTTTTCATATGTTGAAGCATGCTCCTTTTAAGGCCAGTGTTTTGAGGATTTTGTTATGAAAGGAAGTTGACTTAGCAAATGCATTTCCCAGCATCAATTGAAATGATCATATGGTTTTTATACTTCATTCTGTTGATATGATGTGTCACACTGATTGATTTGTGTATGTTGAACCATCCTTGCATGCCTGGGATAAATCCCACTTGGTCATGATGAATGATATTTTTAATATGTTGATAAATTCAGTTTGCCAGATTTTGTTGAGGATTTTTGCATCATCATTCATCAGGGATATTCTTCTGTATACGGTTTTCCTTTTGTGTGTGTGCCTTTGTTTAGTTTTGGTATAAGGGTGGTACCAGCCTTGTAGAATGAGTTTTGAATTATTTCCTCCTCTTCTATTTTTCAAAATAGTTTCAGTCGGATTGGTATTAGCTCTTCTTTAAATGTTTGGTAGAATTCAGCAGTGAAGCCATTAGGTCCCAGGCTTCTCTTGCTGGGATTTGTTTTTATTACAGTTTAAATCTTGTTACATGTTATTGGCCTGTTCATGTTTTGGATTTCTTTATGGTTCAATCTTAGTAGACTGTGTCTGGAAATTTACCCATTTCTTCTAGATTTGTCAATTTTGGGCATATAGTTGCTCACAGTAGCTATTAATGATCCTTTGAATTTCTGTGATATCAGTTGTAATGTCTCCTTTTTCATCTATTATTTTATTTATTTAGGTCTTCTCTCTTTTTTTAATCTGGCTAAAAATTTGTCAGTTTTGTTTATCTTTTCAAAAAAACCCACTTTTCATTTCAATGATCTTTTGTATTGCTTTTGACATTTCAATTTCATTTATTTCTGCTCCTACTTTTATGATTTCTCTTCTTCTACTTATTTTGGGTTTGGTTTGCTCTTCTTTTCCAATTCTTTAAGATTCATTCTTAGATTATTTATTTGAAGGTTTTCTTCTTTTTTGATGTAAGCACTTATAACTGTAAACTTCCCTCTTACTACTGCTTTTGCTGTATCCCATAGGTTTTGGTATGTTGTGTTTCTTTATCGTTTGCTTCAAGAAATTTTTTTATTTACTTCTTAATTTCTTCATTGACCCACTGATCATTCAGGAGCACATTGTTTAATTTCCATGTGCTTGTACAGTTTCCAAAATTCCTCTTGTTATTGATTTGTAGTTTTATTCCAGTGTGGTCAGAGAAGATGCTTGGTATTATTTCAATATTTAAAC